TGCTGTCCCTCTCTCTGTCCGTCTCACAGAATCCACAGTCTGGCCTCGTCCTCCTCCATTCTTCTCCTTCATTGTGTGTGTGTGTGTGTGTGTGTCGACAGCGCCAGTGAATCGGAGTGTCCTCCAGAATATTTCCCTCTGTTGATGTTTGGACGTCTCCCGTTTGACATTTTCCTGAAGCGAGCGGCGCCGAGTCACGTGACTTTCATGGGGTCTTGCCATTTAGGAGTTTGAATATGTGTGTGTGTGTGTGTGCGCGTGTGCGTGTGTGTGTGCGTGTGTGTTGTTGTGTGTGTGTGCTTGAGTTCACATTAATGAGATGTAGAGTAGAAACGTTGGCAGGACGGACACACACACAGTCACAGAGATGTGCTGGAGGAGTGGAGCTGATCGCCAGCTGCTGCTCTTCGGACCTGCGGAGCCCTGAGAGTCTATTGACTCCTGAGCTAACAGAGCCTGGGGGGGGGGGGAACAAACATAGCATTAGTGAGGAGAGATTCATTCAGTGAAATTGATCTCATTGATTCTTCCTGCAGTTATTTTTTATCAAAGTTTTCTTTGATAAAAAATGCATCTAAACATTCACAAGTAGAACGTCTGAGTCAGTGTCTCTGAGCTGTCTCTGGATCTGTTCCAGGCCTTTTGTGTGATGAGTTAATTCAGTAGCCGGATGTAAACTCCACTCTCTCAATAAAACTATAATTATTATTATGACACAGAAAGTCTGTTGCTTGTTGACATGATGACGGACCTGTTCGCCACCCGAACATCAACATCCACCACATGATTGCAGGGAAATCAACTTTGCAGCCGCCCCCTCATGAATTTGTGTAATTTCTGCTTCAGTAATGAGATTTTACAGAGTGAGAACACAGAAGTGTGAAATCAGAGCCGCTCACCTCTTCACACTCGTACTCATCAGAGGGGACGCACTTCTGACCTCCGTCCTGTGAAACAAGGTGGCGAGAACGCATCAGAAACAATCACGTTCAGCTCGTTCACTTTGCGAAAGAAGAGTTTCTGTTGCTCTTCTGTTGTTAATCACAGGGAATTGTTCTCAACAAGCTGCCACTCAGAAACTGTGACTGACCGACCATCTGCTCTTTCCCCGCCGGCGTTCTGCTTCAGACGCCGTCAGTCACGACCAGACACATGATTTTTCGGTCTCTTTTTAGCTCTTTACTGACAGTGATAATTACTGGCTGCTTAGCAAATGATTCCATCTGTTATCTACATCTTCAGACTTGTATCCTCTAGAATCGAACACATTTCAGCAGAGTATAAATCTGAGTCAATAAAAACACAAAGATTCTGACTTTTCTCGGAGACTTTAAAGAATCAAGATATTCTCCGACTCTCTCCCGCCCTCTTCACTCGTCCCTCGGTGGGTGGAATGTTTGAATTGATTTAAATTGAAACCACAGATGTCGTGTGTGTGAGAGTGTCGTCTCCATAGAGTAGCTGCCGGTGGAGAACGTGAACCAGAAGATGGTAGGTCCCTAACATCTGCTGGTGGTCAGTGAGTTATCATCCAACTAGAGCTGAAGAGCTTCAAACATACAAGAGCTCTTCACCATCTCGTCCTTTGTTTTTAAATCTCTGTGTTTGGTCTGAACATCGTAACGAGTCGAGCTTCGGCCTGTTAACAAATACACAGAGTGTGAACCTGCTCTGTGTTCCTGCTGTGAAGGCGTCGATTCTCCCTCTTTGAGTTCTGGATGGAAATGAAACTGAATCAAACTAAGAAAATATTCTTTGACTGTCGGCTCTTGCGACTCCTGAGGAAGTGGCAGCTTCACGTTCCAGATGATCTCAGTAACTATGGAAACGTGCTTTGTTCAAAACTGCATCGATGAAGCCTCCGCACTAATCCACAGAAGCTTCTGGCTTCTTCTGCAGCCGAGACTCATGGGTATTATAGTACGTCGAGATGTGCCTAAAGAAAAACTCTGATTTCCCAGAAGTGACGTGTAAATAATTGAAGGCGTTGGTCAGGACGTGAACCTGCGAGATGTTTACAGCGGCGTCCTGTGACACGTTCAGGAGATCAGTCATGATAATGAGACTCCAGATAACAGACCTGTTGTTCCACGATGAGAATCAGTGAAGTCATTGAGATGCAGAGCAGCAACAGCAGCGTAAACAAAGATGCACACTTGTGCCTGCTCCAACACACACACACACACACACACACACACACACACACACACAGCATCATTTATCTGCGTCTTCCATCAGCCTCTTTGTCGGCGCCTCATTAGCATATCTCCTCCTGTTGCCTGGGTGGGAGAGCCAATCAGATCTTATCGCTCGACGAGGAGGAAGAAAACTCTTTTCAGTGATGGGGAAGTCGTGGCGCGCCGCCTGGAAACGCTTCATGTCGGATCATTGTCATTTCCCCCGAAATACATAAGTGCAAATCCACAAATATGCACGGGTGTGCACACACAGCAGGTTGTTATAGTGATGATTAAACCGTGCGCTGAATCATTATCATATTGACTGTTGCTGCGGTAACCTCCTCTGACACCTGACGCCTCTGCAGGTCTGATTCCTGTAAACCGGCTGCTCAGCAGAGCTCACACAGAAGTGATAGCTATATTCATGTGCTTTAGAAAGGTGATACCATTCAGAGTAAATTCTCAGCAGCAGCGTGCAGCAGGTAATAAACAGCATCCAGAGGGACTCTGCTTTCACTCTGCGATCGTGTCTCTTCTTATCTGCTCCTCTCTCACTTCGTCTCTGACCTCGCCACAGTGGTTTCATATTTACTGGAAACGCTCGTCTGCACATTCCAGGTGTTTAGAGATGGATTTTTAAAAGTGCTGACGGACAGAGCTTTGCCACTTTGCTCCATGAACCCGACGGAGAGCTTTTGTCACTGGAGCTAAATCGAGAACATTTGTCACAATAAAACAGAATCATCCTGCTCTGGGGTTGTGAACTCACCAGCTGACGGCCACACAAAGACTCACCGGTCAATCTGTTTGTCTTCCACAGCAGCAACACTGATGTGAAGACAAACCCAGGATCCACCTTCACTCAGTGCTGCTGTAATAATGACGTCATCTGAGTTTTTAGAGATTCACGAACCTGCTACTAACGTTTTGAACTATTTCAGTTCTTAACTTCTCTCCGACTTAAATATTTTTTAAATAAGCAAAAGAAACAGATGAACCCACATCGACCAAAACCTCGACTGTAAATTGATGATAATTTGCTGATGAGCTCAGACGGACCAGACTAATTATAAATGATGCAGCGCTGCAGAGAGATGTGAGGTGAAAGGTCACGTTGTATTTCTGTGATGAAGATTATTGACGAGTGTCAGACGTCCTAAATGCTGTTTTCATTATTCTTCATCATTAACCTCATCATCAGTATGTACATATTTCCTGGTGTATAATAATGTGAGCACATAAACTGAGCGTTCAAAATGCAGCTGTTTAATAAAACTAGATCCAGTCACATTATATGTGGAAATGTTGAATAATCATCTGTTACATAATGGATAGAAACTCAGATTGGCCTTACACCTCTCCTCTCAGTATAATGGATGGTTTCCACAGTCCCAGGTTTCAGGCAGGAGGACGTTAATGTGTGTGAAGGTGAAGAAGAGCAAAGCTCGTGAACCTCCGACCGTCTGTTCGACTCTGTTTGTGACGTAGAAAAGACAAAAGCCTTGTTTTATCCACTCCTGTAACCGACGGGACGTGAAGATGGAAAGGTTCAAAGCTTTCAGCTGCGACGACAAACTGGTATTAAAGACGTTTCATGATTTAACCTGAAGAAACATCCAGAAAATAACAAGAGTCATGAAACTGAAACAAACCAAATGAAACACACTCGCCTGCAGGTTGGCGCAGGTGGAGAACATACACGCACTGTCCATGGGTTTGATCGCGTTGCCGTGTAGAGCAGGAGCAGGTTTGGAGATGATTGGCGGCTGGGCGGGGGGTAAGAAGGTGGACGTGGGCTCGGTCACGAGAAGAGTCCCTCCCTCTGATCCGTACCCAAACGACTGGATTGCGTTTTCTGTGATTATCAGAATAAGAGCTTTTATAAAGCTGCAGGCACGTCACACACAAATGGAGTCTCTGAAATCACCACAAACAAATCTGCTGAAGTATCGTTAAACAATTTACATAATGACTTTCTCCACATCATGGACATTTCTGTTGGATTTAAATGATTTAAACCAATAACCTGCAGCCTGGAGTTAAACTCTGACTTAACCTTATTGTTATCTGCCTCTTCTGTCTTCATATGTTTAATCCCCACGTGTTTGTGAGTCAGTAACACAACCACACACTCACTGAGGCAGGCGTTGTGTGTGAAGTCGCGGTGGAAGGCGTCACACTCTTGCTCCTGACTTCCTGTGCCCCTGCAGGTGCACCACAGGCTGAGCGTGATGTTGGACGGACTGCTGTCGCTGTAGTTCGGCGTCACGTCAGAGCCTGAGACAGAGCGAGAGAGAGAGAGAGAGAGAGAGAGGGAGAGAGAGAGAGAGAGAGGAGGAGGAATAAGAATTAGGACGGAGATTAACCGAGAAGAAACGAGAAGAGGCATCTTCTGTTTTGCATATTGGGAATCAAATCAGAGAAATAGTGAGTCACCTGAAACAAAACAGAAAAACAGCCTCAACTTATCTTTCAGTCGAATAAAAGATGGAACATTTAAAATGAAACACGAAACAAGAAGTTTGAACCTGTTTTTATCCAGCGTTCAGGTTTCTGCTCTACATAAAACCTCATTTACACACTTAGACATAACACTCCACAATAATGTTTCTGATGAAACGAGCAGACTGACCGATGAGGCCGACGTAGGACATGAGGCAGCCGTGGTAGTTGTCGTGAGGGCAGCTGGTGACGGTGTGAGGCGTCATCTGGCAGTTCATGTGGAAATCAGCGAGTCGAGACCTGCGACGGACAAACAAGACAAACTCTCTCAGCATCGTTTCACAAAGAAGCTTCACAGCCTCCTGATGTTTTATAGATTTAACAACTTGACTTTAACAATCTGTTAATTATCTGAGAAAATAATCCGCTGATGTCATCGTCCAACTAGTCAAGTCGTCAACAAACTGGTAATTATTTGTAAGTTTAGTCTGCAGGAAATGAATGTCTATGTCTAGTTCCCAGAGTGTGCGTGTGTGTGTGTGTGTGTGTGTGTGTGTGTCACATTCGTACATATGTGAAAATGTTTGTTTTTCTTGTCTGTCGGCTGCAGAGGATGATTTAACTTGACATGACGGAGCATTGTGCATTTGACTTTCACAAAGAGGTCAGTGTGTGTGTGTGTGTGTGTGTGT